TATAATATTGGCCATCCCCCTCATCCCACCTCCAATTTCTATCATTCACCATCTTCTACAAAAGTGACCCCTATAATCATCTCCTGTATTTTTTTTTCCTTTTCTATCTCCCACAAGGTGACCCTAATTGGTCCTTCCTTCTGTAAGTATAGTAAGGTTCTGGGCTTCTGGTTCATTGGTATCCATTCTCCTTTCAGTCTAATACTACTCCTGTCTTTCCACCAGAGTGATCTACCAGAATGGCAGATTTAATTATTTCAGTCCCCTACTTTAACTCCTTTAAGGACCACCACTGCCTTCATGATAAAATGCAAATCCTTTAGTGAGGCAGACTTACAAGCCTTTGTAGATCTGTGCCATGTAGACTTTACCAGCTTGAACCAACATACATGTGGCTTCCCCAATTCACCATGTTGTTTCAAGCCCCCAAAGCCTTTTACAGTTTGCTGTCCTGCCTATAACATGCTTGTTTCTTCCCCTCCTTATGTGTTCATTCTGTCTCTTCATTTCAAGGTTGAATCCTCTCCCTTTAGGGTCACCTCCCATGGAAAGTGTCCTCAGTGCTGACCTGGGGCTGTCCTTCCCTGCTGCCATAGTGCTCATGGCATTTCTCTGCTGGAGTATATACAGTCATGCAATGATCTGTTGGTTTGTCTGTCTCCTCCAGTACCATGAAGCCAGGAGCTGTGATTTGTCACAATATCTCCTGACTAGGACATAACGGGCATTTAGTAAATATTTATTGCATTTTTTAAAAATATGAGCAAAGCTATAAGGACAGAAATGTGTGTTGGATGTGTTACAAGAGAATGATGACTACATTTTGAAGGGCAGAGAAAGGTATGACTTGAAAGGCTGAATTCGGAAGTACAGACAAATAAAAGGTTAGGACAGGGACTTGGGCTGCAGTAGAAAAGAAAACCAAAGCAAACAGCTCTGCAACTGAGAAACTGATATAAAGGGCTCCCTTCACCACAAACCCCAATTTTGTGGCAACAGACTCAAACTGAGGTTGACCGGCAACTCCACAAACCTGGAGTCAATTTTTGTGGCATCACTAGAGCCTCTGATCTGGAATTAGGGAACTGTTGCTATTTTCTACTAGACTCAGACAGGAAAGATAAAATAGGATTGATCGGGGCAATCACTGAATGTCTGTGACCAGAGGGTGGCAAAGTGGGAGCTTAGAACACAGTGTTGTGTAACACTGAAGACAGCAAAGGGAGAATGAATGTGAGCAAATACTAGAATGTTTAAGTATTTTATTAGAGGTAATAAAAGCTTAAACCAGAGGGGGTGGCAGTGAACCTGCAAGGAAGAAAAATGTGGCATCCATTGGATAAGATTTGGATTTGATAAACCTTGAGACTTGATAAGAGAGAAGAAAGACACTCATTTGCAAACAAAAATTTTAATGGAGTAAAATGGTTAAATATTGATTACCAAAAACAAAATATTTCAGCCAGCCAGGTACTTTATTTCTTTGAGAAATAGCTCTTTAGATTTAGAGTATATGTGTTATTCTTCTACAAAGATACCAATTCATATGTTATTTTTTAATAAAGAGAGGCTTTTCACTTG